AATAATAATAATATTTTTTTACGTTTAACATTCACACTAGGTCAAACAGGATTTATATCTGCTGTGATGTATACTAGATCTGTTAAAAGCCTTTATAGTCTGCATCTGGGTCATATTTAGAAGGTTTTTAACTGGTATAGAAAGAAATATTTTAAAAAAATTTTATTAAAAATACATTTTTTTCTGGAATGTTTTTTGCACTCGTGACATTAAGAAGCGTGCTGTCCGCAACGAAACGAAAGTTTGGCACGAATCTAATTACGTAAATACAAGAACAATGTGTAAAAATTGTTTAAAAAATTCAATTATCGTGTTAAGTCTGGTGGTTGGATAGATTCCAATTAATTAAGAATTGTTTACGTTGGCTTTTTCGATACGTCATCACCCGTTTCGGGTCGGACGATTTGGCCTTCCTCTACCTCCGTTCGACCGAAGTTCCCTTTCGAAACACGTGATTAAATATAATTTTAGAGGTTTCGAAAGTAAATCTACACAAGAATATTTGACAATTTCACTTTTCTAAATAAAATGCAACTGACAATACTTTTTCCTACTACTTTAATGTCATGATATAAACCCACTTCGACCTTCTGAGTGAGCTTCTATCATTCAATCTCTCGACATTTCACGTTCAATCATATTATTTGTTAAAATTTACGCTCATCAATTGTAAAATGAAGCTATCAGATAATAAAAAACAATTAAAATTCTTTTGTTTAGAAGTGTCACCAAACCTCGACATACCCTTTTGTTTTGCTCGCATTACCATACTCAAAGTTAACTGTGGCTATTTATAACAATCGTTTTATCAATAATGAATAAGGTTATCAAATTAACATTATCTAAAGTATAAGCATAAGTTTTGAACATATAATTTTTTCAGACAATTATGTAATTTATCGTCTCAAAACTTGGGTTTCTATACCGATATATCCTTTTAAAAAGCTGAATTAAAGAACAACAAGCCTCAATATTATAAAGAAATATAAATAGTTTATTCACATATTGTTATAAAATGTCTGAAGTAGCCTGAGAGACTTTACCAATACCAAACACTTCTTTTATAAAATAGAAGTCGACTGTCTTCTGTTGTAATGCATCATGTAAGATCAATAATTAGTTGTTACTGGTAGCAGGCAGCACTTACTTGACTCAAAAATATCCCTGTGTTTTAGAGAGACTCCTCTATAAAAATCCACAAACATGGGATTTCGTTTACAGAAGTGTTAAACATTCGAGAATCGTGTCCGCAATACACGAGAAATGAATTTTTACATATTGTAATCCCCATAGAATTCAAGGGAAACGGCACGAAAGTGAAACCATTTGCATGGTCGTACTAAACTTCATCTTATCAAACTTCAAATGTTAAGATTTTAACAGGAAATAAGCTTTTATATAGATAATCATTAGAGATACATGTGAGAATCTCACGTATAAATCAAATTTTATTATCACAAACATTTTTCCACATTAGAAGAGGGGATAGAAGTGGGAAAAAGCGTCGTTTAATGTCCTATTATCGAAAATCCAATAGGGAGGAACTGTCGCGACACGGGCCATAGGAGACAATATCCAGTCGACTGAAACGTTGATAAATTTAGAAATAACTTCATTCGATAAGCTTAAACTTATATAATTTATTGTATAATGATTACAGTTAATCATAAATATTGAAATTTTAAGAGTCTTCCTGAAAAAATAACTCCGAAAAATGGCATCAAGACAAGATTTAGACTTAATGACTAATCTAAAAAGTTCTTCCTCTCCATAAAATAATAATAGGTAATTTTAAAAAATCTGTAGATAAATTCAGTCTTGATATTTAAATCCATTAGCATCACATCAAAAGAAGTAAATGTCCGTTTTCATACAAAATGGAGTCCGAAAGGGAAGAACTTCTTTGCAACGTTAACTTTTTATAATCAGATCAAGTCGTAAAAATTTGAAGCTTCTAGAAGTATATATAAATTCAAAAATTAAAAATTAATAGAATAAACAGACTTGAAAAGAAAATAGCCATTTTAAACTTATTTTTTAATTTAAATAAATAAATATATATTTTTTTCTGTATAAATATCCAAACGTTACGTTTTGAAGTTTTCTATATATTTAATTACAAACGTAATTATAATATAATTTTACATCATTTTGGCTTTATTTAATTTACTTTTTAGCCACGTAACAATTTTTTGGTCGTGTACTTAGAAGCAAAGCTAAGAGAGTTTAAAGAATAAGAGCAATCGTTCCGCTGATTGGTTAAAATTTATATTATAAATTAACAATAGTATAATTGTTGAATTTATCATATTGTGACTCGAAAATTCGACTTGAAATTTTTATTCTATAAAAATTTGCTATTTTATATCTTTAAAGTTTTATATTTATTATCATTTGAATTATATTTTATTTAATTTTTAAAAATGACGATTATTTATACTATTCTGATATATTATTTATATAAAAAATTACATCGTAAATTTTAAAATTTTCTAGAGTTTCAAGGACTAAAAATCGAAACGTCCACTAATGTCACGTGACTGTAGACTCGCAGACCTTGAACCTTAAATGACACTTGATGACTGTCATTCCTCCCATGAAAATTTTAATACTATTTTCGTAACGTTTGTCTAGTAATAGACGTTATTATTTTTATTATTTATGCGAGATTTAATATATTAATAAATATTCTTTTAAAATTGTTTTAACGAAAATGTAAATAAAAATATTGCCTCAAAATTTACTTTTTGACAGCGCTCTCTATTTATAAATATCTTGAAATTGCGAAAAAATTAATAACAGGAGGGAGATATTTGTTTTTGAAAGAAATTTCTTACTAGTCTACATTATTGATATATTTTTTTAAACATTTTGGTGTCGCTGTCCCTAGCTTGACGGCGGTAACATTTTATCGATAATCCGGAACCGCTTCAATTGATCGCGTCTGTCTCGCCGACTGCCATTACCTAGAATTACATCTGTAACTTTAATGTTTATCGCTGGCGATAAA